GTCTGTGTCAGGAGGCTCAGCCCGTGGACCTCTCCTCCTCTCTGTCCACCCAACTAGGTGCAGTCACTCATTCCCATGGCTTTCATACCATCAACAGGCTGGTCATGCCCACATTAATTTCTCTAGTCTAGCCTGTATTTCTTTCTTGAACTTGATTTGTACATGTAGTAGCCTACTCAACAGTTCCATTTGATGCATCTAAGTGAAACGTATCCCACATAAAACTCTTGATTCACCTTCCACAAACCTGGTGGAATTTGCCTCTGGATGAATGACATCTACATCCCCAGTTGCTCAAGCCAAAAACATAATCCACTAACTCCTCTCTTTGCCTCACCCCGTACTTCCGATCCATTAGCATGTCTTGTTGCTTCCACCTTCAAAATATATCTGAATCCACAGCATCTCTTACTGGAACTGCTGTGATAGCGTCCTCACTCTCCCCAGTCACTCATTCCTTGACAACCCTCACCCGGGTGACACCGTCTACTTTCTGGTCCGTTCTGCACAGGCTATTTCCTGGGGAGGTAGTGTAAGGCAGGGGTGAGGGGACACACACGGGAGCCAGATGGCCTAATTCAAAACCCTATCTATGATTAGCCATACGCCCTTGGGCAAAATTATTCAACCTCTTTCTTCCTCACATTCCTCACTTGTAATGGGAATAACAAATATGGATTTCCCTCATAGAACTCTTATGAGAATTAAAGGGAGTCCTCTTCCCTAATGGCTCAAAATTGTAATCATTTACTAAGCACCTGTGAGAGTCCAGGCTTCCTGCTCAGCCCAGTACACATTCTCGTTTCTCAAACTGGATACACATATACCTGGTGACAAGTGACAGTGGGCCAGAGGCACTCTAAGCCACAAAATAAATGTAAAAAAAAAAAAATCTTGAATATGGTTGACAATGGAGAAAGACGGTTCCAGGAAAAGGGACCGATTGTGTAGTGTTGTGGAAGGAATAACAGCAAGGACTTAATGAATACTGACTGTGCCAGGCATTGTTCTAGGAGCTTTACAAATATCATTTTACTTAATTTTCTAACAGCTCTATGAAGCAAGTCCGTTATTATGCCTGTTTTATAAGCGAAGAACATGAGGGAGCGGAGGTTGAGTAACTTGCTGAGGTCACCTGGCTAATCCAGACAGGAATGTGAATCAGGCAGCGTGGCTCCAGTGTGGGTCCCTCTAACCTCCACCTTACAAGGCCTTGCTGTGAAACAGCTGCCAGGGGACAGACATGAAAGGACACAGGTTTCACCAGAAATGAGTGACTGGCAAGAGACAAATGGATAAGAAAAGAGATGGGAATGAAGAATCATGCCTTCAGGTGCTCTCAACCTGAGCTTGAATCCCAGCTCAGCCACATTCCACCTGTGGGATCTTGTGACCCAGTACACAAGTTTCTCACCTGTAAAATGAGTTCATAGATATGCCTTAGGCTGTTGGGTGCAGAAAAAGCACCCACTGCTTATTAACCATGCTGCTTGTTCTTTAGGATCTTCTTCCTGCTATTACAAAAGAGTTGAGTTCTTCTAGATCCTGATTTTCTGTCTAGTTGCTTTACCTACTGTTGAGGGAGGGTTGTTAAGTCCACAATTACCATTGTTGATGTGCCTTCTTCTCCTTTAGTTCCATCAGGTTTTGCTTCATATATTTTTCAGCTCTGTTGACTGGTGCATACACATTTACAGATGCTATGATAAAAGGGTCAATCCACTAAGAAGATATAGCATCTGTAAATGTGTATGCACCAGTCAACAGAGCTGAAAAATATATGAAGCAAAACCTGATAAACTAAAGGAGAAAAAGACACAGCAACAATGATATTGTGGACTTTAACAACCCTTCCTAAACAATAGATAAAGCAACTAGACAGAAAATCAGGATCCAGAAGAACTCAACTCTACTGTTGACTAACAGGATCTAACTGACATTTATAGAATACCCAACAACAGCAGAATACACATTCTTTTTAAGTGTTCAAAGACCAAATACTAATAGAGACCATATCTTGGGCCATAAAATAAACCTCAACAAATTTAAAAGAATTTAAATCATACAGAGTGTATTCTCTGACCATAATGGAACTTAACTAGAAATCAGTAACAGAAAAATTTCCAAACACTTGGAAAGTAAACAACACACTTCTGAATAACCCATGGGTCAAAGAGAAAGTCTCAAGGGAAATTACACACACACACACACACACACACACACACACACACACACTGAATTGAGTTATTTTCAGTACGATTCAGGCTAACGGCATGATTTGCAGAGGATCAACATTGTTCTAATAGATAATACTGATCACAGCCAATGTATTGAACACTCCAACTTGGTACACTACATACATGGTCACATATAGTGTTCCATTTAATTATCATCAAAACTCTAAGGAGGATGGGTTTCTACTATTATTCCCACTTTGTTAATGAGGAAGCAGAAGCTTAAATCAGCTAAGTAACTTGTCCAAAGTCACAGAGCTAATAAATGGCAAGATCAGCTTAAACCCAGGCACCAAAGCTCTGTGAAAATGTTAGGTTTCAGGGAACACCAGGGAACCTGCTACAGATCACAACCCTACCCTAACCAACCCCTTTATAACTAAGTCATATCTCAGCACTCTTACCAAAACACTGCCCACCATCTGGTGAGGAATAGGCTTTCTCTTCAGCCCCTGATAACTGCCAGGAGGTGGGAAATTCAAAGAAGGGAGAGGAGGACCACAGAGTCCTTCACATGAGCAGGAGAGATGGAGAAATCTCTGAGGTCGTAAATGCTAATACCTCTCCAGGTATGAGTCACAGGGTTCACTGAGAACATCAAAATAGTTTCATTTCCAGATAAACAGCAGAACAGAAATAAAAATAGCTTTCTGACCTATGAAATACGGAAAAGTTCATATGTTTTTTCTAGGGTCGGGGGGAACAGTGGTAGGCAGGGGATTTTAAAATTGTACTTAATTTTTACTTTTAGCCCTATAATATATGCAAAAAATTTAAACAGTATTCAAAGTTCATAACAAAACATAGCTGTCCCTTGTCCCCCACACACACCAGCCCCCCACTACAAAAAAGATCACCAAAGATACTTTTAGTTGTTTTTCCCCCTCTGGTATTTACCATCAAAATTTCTAAATAGTAGGCTTATCTTGCTACTTCTCAGTTCATAACTTTTATTTTCTGTTGATTTGCTGTTGAGGAAGTTAAGGATTTAGTTCTCTTTCCCTTCCCACCTCCTTTAAGCTCATATAACATTTCAGAAAGATGGCTCCCAGGTCCTCATAGTTGACAACACAGTGTATACGGACTTCTAGGTCCTAGGGGTTTTTTCATGTCATTGAAAACTTCCTCATAAATGCCATTTTAATGCATAATACCTCATCATACAGAAGTCTCTAACTTTTTTCAACTGCTTCCTTATTTTGGAATTTGGGATTTGCGTTGATTTCAATTTTTTTCTATCGTAAATAATGTTGTAAAAGTACACTTGAACATACATTTTAAAAACATGTTTCAACATCTCCTGGGGATTCTTAAATGTGGAATTAACGAATCAAAGTACATATATGTTGTCAACTATGAGGGGGAAAATGGCCACAGAAAATACACTGGATGGTGTTAAGATCAAATACAGAATAAAAATAGAGGGTTAACTCTCCTTGTTGCAAATAAGGGAGGAGACTTTTCTCCCCCTCCCTTTTGTTTCAGAATTTCTTTTCCTTTTCAAATGTACATAAATCTTTATAATGACCTCATAACTGAGGATCATTTCCTGAGGACCTGGGAGCCATCTTTCTGAAATGCAAACCATCTCCCAGTTTCTGTGGGAGGATAAGAACCTAACTTTGGTAGTCTCTGTTCCAATTTGCAATGAGAAGTTCGTTTCTCTTCTGATTAAAGCCAACACAAGGGGTCTCCCCGATTACTTAGGTAAATTTGGAACCAACTACCTGTGACAAAAGGTACTGCTCCTCTTACTAGGGGACTAGTTATTGTTCACCTTGAGAAAGTGTGTGTAATGGGCTGTATCTGCTTGGCTATGTAGGGGGGTGCGATTACTTTCCATCTTTGCAGTCTCTTTGCGGATTGTCTGTTATGCGATCACATTCTGGTTTAATATAGTATATTCAATAATAAAATTGCTTTCTTCCTCTGCTACCTTTGTGGAGAAGTTTTCTGGGTTGGGAGAAGATTTTGCTTTTGTAAACTATATTCTCTCTGTAACTGAGCAGGACCCTGTGGGGCCTTCCCAGGACAGACCCCTCCCCGCAAGTCCTCTGCTTTAGTTCCCCTCTGAAGTACCTAGATAACAGTATTTGCTGCACATTTCCTGAGTGGTTTTACGATGCTAAAACCACCACCAAATGGAAAAAGTTAACTACTTGATGACCATGAAAACGTAGGCCCCAGACTTACTGGAGCCTGAGGATTGATAATGTTAACTCCTGTGACACCACCCTGTTACCTCACCATCAGCCAATCAGAGAATTGTGCACGAGCTGATCACACACCCCTCAACACCCTCTCCCTCACCTGGCCTTTAGAAATGCCTCCCTGAAACCCATCATGGAGTTCAGGTTTTTTGAGCACTAGCTGCCCCAGACTCCTTGTCTGGCATCTTACGATAAACACTGCACTTTCCTTCACCACAACCCAGTGTCAGTAGATTGGCTTTACTGCACAGGAGCTAGGGGACCCAAGTTTGGTTCGCTAACACCTCAAAAATGGCACTCTGCCATAATGATATTAACAATGGCCCGTGGATGGAGTGGAATCCCACCTGTTAATAAGCTGTCAACTCATTGCTATGATTCATTTTTTATACCAGAGAGTGAAAGTTTGTGTGTGCACCTGGCGTTGGAAATCTCAGGCTTAGCACCCCATCCTGCTGCTCTTCAGACCCTCTTTCAAAGTATGACTGTTTCATCCTTTTCAATCTTTTGTTTGTTTCGTGGTTCCTAAACATAGAGATGGCACTGGACATCTTACCCATGTCTTGTGTTGTCCTCTCCCCTCCCCACTGAGAAACAGCTGCTCATCACACCTTGAAATTGAGGTGATTTTCACCTTCTTCTGTCCTTGAACTTTCAAGCATAGACTATGACAAGCTTCCAAGATGCACCAGCTGCCATTCCTGATCAGACCCTGTGGGGAAAGAGTTTATTGAGAGAGTCTGCTAGCAAGACAGACAGTACGATCTACTGTGACAAAACTCACAGAAATGATATCCCATCACCTTTGCCACATCCATATTCCATGGTTAGAATCCAGTTGCAGGTCTTGCCCAGCTCAAGAGAAAGGGATCACACAAGGGTGTGAATAGCAGGAGGGGGGATAATTGGACCATATTCGAGTCTACCCACCACAGTCTTCTGAGACTTTTGTTAGACACAGGCTCACACTTCCTCATTCTGTGTTTAACGCCTCCTAACCTTCCTTCATATTTTCTCCCCTTTTGTCCTTCTGCAGTGCATTCTGGTAGTATCTTCAGATCTTTCTTAAAGTTCACAAATTCTTCTTCTCCTGAGTTTAACCTTAACTCATCTGTTGCATTTTATATATTTTCAGTCATTTTGTATTTTTTATTTCCAGAACATCTACTGGTTTTTATATCACACAAACTGCTTTCCATGGCCTTGTATTTCTTCATCATATCCCACTATCTTTCTTTATTTCTTTAAATATATTAATATACTCATTTTATAGTCTTTATTTACAATTTCTGTATCCAAAGTCCTCATGGGTCCGGTCTTGAGGTTTGATGTTTTTGGTTAATTCTGATCCATGCTGGCTCAGTTCCATGTGTGTTTTGATTTTTGATTGTGAACTCGTATTACTTGGAATTTTACCTATGGTGATGCCAGAGAGCTTCAGTTTACCCCTCTAGAGTAAACCCTTTTCCAGCCTGCTCTGCCTATTTGGATCTATTTGGACCACATCAGGTATTTAATCCTCTGGATTCCTTCCTGTGAAGCTGCCTCAGCTTGACTAGCTTCCTCCCTCCAAGATCCCTGCTCCTCTCAAGGTAATCTACTGTACAAGACTCCATCCAGTTCTGGAAACCTCTCCTTCCCTTTGTCCTTTTAAGCCTAAAGGTGGTAGCAGTTCATTTTGCCATTATGCTGTGGGAACTAGGTTACTGCACTAGTCCCTGTGGTGCCTCTACTTGCCTGTACCTTTGTAAATAGTCCTTTATAAATCAACCATCTGTTTCCCATGTCTATGGACCCAGCTGTTTCCATACTGGACCCAGCTTATGTGCCTCCCGAGAACTGTTCTGCCCTGCTGCCTTTCTGAACACTGGCTGCTTCCTAGCCGCAGTGCCCCAGTGGTGGCCCATACGGTCTCTGCCATTGTAAGTCTAGGCTTCCGCCTTCCCAGCCTCAGTTCCAAGTACTGCTGGTGTGTTAGCCTCCCCAGGGATGACGTGAAGGCTGTAGGGCAGCCTCCATCATGTCCATCGCACTGGGAGACTTGACCGCTCTGCTTCTAGGTCTGACCTGCCTGCATCCATGGGGCGTCTGGCTTTCCCAGCAACTGCCCCGAGAGCCCAGGTTACACAACCCAGAAATGCAGGGAAGTGAATGCCCCACAGGGGAAATGTGGACCAAAGAGACTTAAAAGAAGACAAAGAGTTGAGGATTAAACTGCTTGCCTTTTGTCCCTGCAGGTAACTGTTCTAAGAGGCAGAGGTTCCCTGGGTCTCTGGCAGAGGTCCCACATGACCTGGTGACCAGTGTACTTTCTGTACACTGCCACGCTGCCTGATTCACATTCCTGTCCGGATTTCTGAGAAGCTGTGGCCAGCTCAGGAACAAACCACTTCATACTGCTTTTCCTCTCCCAGCCTCACTTTCCTTTTTTCTTCACTTTGTTCCCTTGACTCATACATCCCAATACGGCACTGCTACACATGCTTTGCCTCAGCGTCTGCTTTCTGGAGACAGAGCTAAGACAGGCATTGAGGGGTCTGCCCTTTGTGGAATCCTGCTTTGTGTGGGCCTCAGACAAGGCTCCCACCCTTTGCAGCCCAGACTTTGTCTCCAGCCTCCTTGCTGCAGAGGCACAACCCATGAAGACCAGGCTCCTGGCCTGAGGTGCCACAGGGTGCCCAGGGCGACGAAGGCTCCAGCTGCCCTCACCTTTCTGGATTTGCATCCCAGGCTCTGAGGTTTTCGCTTGCTTTTCTGCCACATCGGTATTATATATTTAATTTAATTTAATTTTATTTTTACTGTATTGTATCCTATTCCATTCTATTCTATTTTATTTTGCCGCACCGTGTGGCATGTGGGATCTTAGTTCCCCGACCAGAGATTGAATCTGCACCCGCTGCAGTGGGAGCGCAGAGTCTTAATCACTGGACCACCAGGGAAGTCCCCCAGTCATTTATTTTAAAAGGTGTTGTTAAATAATTATCCAGCATCTTAGGTGTTCTGTACCAGGAGGGTGCCCCTAGACTTTCTCATTGCCTATATTACCTGGAAATTCTCTTTCTTTCTCATTTTTTTTTTCTCTACCTCTTCTTTCTTTTCCTCGGCCCACTGTCTTTCATCCCTCCCAGGATCTGACATAGATGTGTCTCTGGAAAGCCTCCAGACTGAATCTCTGGGATTCAAAGTTCTGCGCCCCCCCGGCCCCAGCTCCAGCTCAGGGTTCCATGTAGTGTATCTACAAGAGAATTGGATAAACCTGCTAGAACTGGGTGGTCAGGCAAAGAGCAGGCAAGCACAATAGGTGTATAGCCTGGAGAGGTCCTAGGGGGGATGTGGTCCCTCTGTTTCATCATGCTGAGTGGGAAACGGGCATACACGCGTGGGCTTAGCCCTCCAGCCAGCCAGCCCTGCTTCTCACACACAGTTAGAGGGAGGGTTGAAAGAATGACTCGAAAGTGTTTCGAAAATAGCTGTCCATGCCACGGACGGTCAACTTACGTATGGCTCTGACTCACTGTGCAGGGAAGATGCAGTGTGTGCCCTTTGGTCACAGTGAGGCTCCTAATGACATCATCCATGAGCTCCAGTGTCAGCCTGTGTGCCCCGTACGAATTGTTCAGAATCGGTTACTCAACAAACGGAGAGTCAGGGGAAAAGCAGCTGCTAATAAAGACAGAGAAGAATGAGCACTTTCACGAATCCTCTGTGTGCCAGCTGCCTGCATTTCTGAAGGTCTGCCTGGCTGTTTCTCCAGCCCAGGTGTCACCTGAGCAGGTATCCTTCTGGAGTCTGGTCACCCACAGTGTGGGGTGTCCAACGACCACCCTTGGGATGGGGGTCCTAGGTGCACAGCTGAATTCAAGGACTCTCAAAGCTATTCAGGCAGCTTTACCATGGGGGCCTCTAGCGAAAAATCCATTCAGTACAGGATTGAGTCTTGGCCCCCTTGTCCAGCTGCCTTGCCCCTTGCCCTGGATGTTCCCTAGGGCCCTGGAGAGCGGCCTAGTGGACCTCATGGCCTCAGCTTTTTCCTCCCCACTGGGGCTTTTAACTTCTGTGTCCCTCCTCCCTTATCGGATCCCTGCTTCCCTCTGTCTTCAGCAGATTCCTTGTCTGCTCTTGTGCTTTACCATTTTCCTTGTCTTTGGCAAACTCGATGAGTCAGTGTCACCATCGTCTCTGTGTGTTTTGGTGCGAGGCAGAAGCCTAGCCAAGCAGGGCTTGAGGTGTGCACCCGTTGCGTTAAAAGAGGTGCGTGACTTCAGGTCTGCCTGCAAAGGGCTCCTGATCATGCGGGGGCAGGAGGGGTGCTCGGTGGATGGATTCAGCTGTTCTTCTGAAATGTTCCCTCAGAACATCCCTTTCAGCCTTTCTCTAGCAGAAGTCCTTTCGAGGCAAGCATTTTCTCTCCTGAAGCCTGACTTCCGCTCGCTCTTGCTCCTGCCTGTCAAACGTATTTTCTGCCAGTCTGCCTGTCTGTCTGTCTCTGCACCTGAGCGCTCTCCTCACTAGCTCCTTCCCCCTGAGAGGTGAGGTGAGCAGTGCCTCAGAACAGGGTGCAGGCCCCAGGTCTCGGCCTGGAGAGGAGGGAGGGTGACACCTGCTGGGCAACTGCTGAGCCCACCCGGCCTTGTCCGGCTTCTGGAGCCTTCCGAGCAGAACTGCTTCCTGCTCCCACTCTTCCATCTGGTGGGAAAGAGCCCCAAGCTTGAGGTCCAGTGCCCCCCACCCCTGCACCCAGTGCCTGCACCCACCAGCCACCTGGCCCCCTGGGTTGTCTCCCCTTGGCCCTGCAGGCGGTTCCCAAGACAAGCACAAACACTTTGAGAGTTTTAGGGCTTGGATACCACATCCCAAGAAGCATGGGATCTCCCAAAGAACAGGGTCAAGCTGGCCTTGACTGGGTGACCACGGCCCCTCTGAGAGGGACACAGGAAGGGGGGGGGCCGCCTTCAGTCAGGAGGAAGGCCCCAAGTGTGCGAACCGCACCCCCCCCCCAGGCCCGGCTTCCCTCAGGCACTCACCATGTGGTGACGTTGGGCAGTGGCTGCCCCTCCCAAGCTGGGGTTGTGCTCCATAGCCTGAGGGTGACCGCGGCTCCCTTGGGAACTGCCACAGGAAATGACGACGATGAGGTAAATGTGCAGCTGTCCATGTAGGTCAGGTCAAAATGTTCCTGTAAACCTCCAACAAGACAAATGTCATCCTCTGTTCTGAAACTTTTTATCTCTATAGGGATGGCAAAGTGTTATATCTTTAAAGGTCAGAGACTTGAGAACTGGCTATCCTATGTATCGCAGGCTATAGGCAACATTCTTAACCGGAAGCAAAAGCAATAGAATACAAAGGTTAAAGTAAAAAAAACATCTGATATGGAGTCAGATTTGTTCTTCCCTGTTATAAGGGGAACATGTTGGCACCAGGACATAGGAGTGGACGGACACAGTCTCTGCCGTCATGGTGCTTCTGTTTAATGAGCAGACAGACATCAAACACACTCCATGTCCAAGAGGGCAGTGGTGAAGTGGGAGCGGTCCTGTGAAGAGGAAATAAAGGACTGAGAGAATTGACACAGTGGGGAAACCTAATGCAGCTGAGCGGGTGAGGGGGTCTCTGTGTAGAACCCACTTGCCATCTAAAGAGACAGCCAAGTAGGGAGAGGAGGGGAGGGAGGGGCCAAGACCAGAAAAAGCTTAGAATCTTAGGAACTGAAATGAGTTCATAGCTCCTGGAGTATACTGTAACATGAGTTTAAACCAAGGGATCCTGCGAACTAAGAAGGGTGGTTCACAAAGAAAACATGCTGCTCCTCTGTTCCCCTGCCACTGGGCTGCAGGAACTTTACCCTTTGCCCATTTGGCAGAGAGACAAAGCCTTAAGGTCACCTCTCCCCCACCGCCATCCGCCCCTGGCCACCT